TTACTGAAGGCGATTGGCCTTGATCCAGCCTCATATTCCGGACACAGTTTTCGCCGTGGCGGTGCGTCATTTGCCTTCCAATCAGGGGCTGAGCCGGATGCAGTCAAAGCTCAAGGAGATTGGTCTTCTCAAGCGTACTTATTGTATATGGAATCGTCGTTCGGCCATCGTCTCCGTACTGCTGCCTGCATACGCACTGCAATTGAGGAAGGGAATCTCTCACTGACTCTTTGATTTTCAGTTTTGGCGGTTTTTATTATTTTGGCCTTTTTGTCTTGTTGGCTGGCGAACATGATCACCAAAACTCATTGTTTCGTTAGTGAATAAAACGAAATTAATTATCCGCCAAAACTCTTGTTGTGTTTTGTTTGAACTGAGAGAATAATTGTGTAATTTTGTATTTCAAAATGGTTAATTATTCCCGTGAATTTTATTATTTGCACGGCGCGCATGCGCAATTGTCTTGTTGTATTTATGCAAATTGATTGTTTCACGCATGCGAAATTTTGTATTGTTAGTTAGTAGCGTCCTTTGTTGCTTTCAAGTCAACCGTGAACTTTTCGATTTCCCCACCCACCCACCCTTTTCATTGCTTGTTGTCCGAGGTGGGCTTTTTCGCAAGTGAATGTTTTATTTTATTTATTTGTTAGTTTTTATTGCATCTTGATGTTATTTTCAGTTTTGTGATTCTGCCTTTTTGTCTTGTTTGCTGGCGAACATGATCAGCAAAACTCATTGTTTCATTAGTGAATAAAACGAAATTAATTATCCGCCAAAACTCTTGTTGTGTTTTGTTTGAACTGAGATAATAATTAAGTCGGTCAACAGATACGCAAAAACAAATTCATGACAATACCGTCGGCCAATACGTAATAAAGACACACTGCACTGGGGGTCAATCTGACCCTGATCGGACCTGAATAATATGCAATATAACAACATATGCCCAGTTAAATGAACAATTTAATCAAAACCACATGAATGTATGATACACAGCGAGTAATAAAATTACACTGATGAAATAAATAGAAGCACTAAACGTCAGTATACTAGACAACAAATCCTGAAATGCCAGGCGATATTCAAGTAATGTTAGCTACGTACATGGTACAGCGACTACGGTCGGATCGACCGATATAATCGTGATGTTCAATGATTATCTCCTGGTTACAATTCAAATGAAACTTAACTCAGCCCAGAGAAAACGCCTAAAATCCTCAAATGCGATTCAGCATTTCTTAGATTGATCGTAACGTCGATCCAAGCCGAATATTACGTATTTGACAGCGGAGAAGACGATATTTAAATATATCGACCGCCAAATGTTCAACCTGTTTATAAATTATAAGCGATTCTTCGAGAAAACGCCCACAAACCCCAAAAGCGATTCAGCATTTCTTATATTGATCGTAACTTCTGTGCAAGCACCGAAGCCGAATATTAGGTTTTTAACCGTGGAGAAGACGATTTTCGATTGTATTTGCATGTGTAACGAATACCAATTTATGTATGAAGGTATAAATTTAATTTCACCAGAAAAGCAAAAATATAAATAATATTGTTTAACTGGTGTGTAAAGTAGATATAGTTTGCTTAAAACTAGTCGAGTCTGCGCTCCGATTTTAATAAGATGAATCCAGTAAAAGCATTTAGTAGAGGGTTATAAGCTTATCGACCGCCAAGTGCGCGAACCTGATTGGCTGTTACGGATATGAGGTATAATAATGTATCATATTGATATTCTTTACGAAGCTAGGGATACATTTTGTTCTGACGCTTCTTGCAATAAATGCACAGTTAATGACAAACTCAGTCACTCTGTGATGGGTTCGTACAGTATATTGACGTCACGTGGAAGAAAATATGTTTGTGCAATTATTTTCGGTGTTTTTCTCACAATAACTGCCATGGAATATGCTATTTTTACGGAAACATTCTTTCTAAACAGGATTCCGGTCAAACAGATCAGCAGTTTTCTCAACTTAAAGTGAGTATATATTTGCCTCTTATCATCTCACATATTTAACGACAGTGCAGTCTGTGTCGATCTGTGATTCGACAAAAGAAATGTTTTAAAGGAAATCTAAACAGCACAGACATTAACACTGTATTTTGCATGAACGCTTACTTTATCATAGCATTTGTGGCAGTCAAAACCCTACTACTTGTGGGTAGCATTTTAACACCGTTATTCCCAATAGCGTTTCCATAAATACCGCGATCACGGGTTTCTTATTGTTTTTCAAAACGCTTCAATAATTAAAACGTGAAACCGTCGCGTTGTTCCTGAACACCCACCCAGTTTAGGCATTACTGTATCATTAATACAGATAGGAACAACAGCGTTTACTGTATAAAGCGCATTTAATTTCATAGTTGTGTACACGAAAAACGACTTCTTGTCGACAGCTGAAAATGAGGTCACCTATTCACTATTCACGCTGAAAGCCAAATGTATCCATGGCAACATCGATTGATTGTCATAGCTGTGTTGTTACGGAAGCATGGTATATTTTTTGTCTGAAAAAAGTGTCTGTTCAATTATTGGGTTTGAGCCTGCCAAAAAGTTAAAGAAATATTGATAATTTACATATTCCCTGGGTGATCGTTTAAGTGTAGCAAGACAACATTGAGTCGCTGATCATATTATGTCTGCTTGTTATGTTCTCCTTTTTAAAAATATACATAATGATACTGTAAAATTACGCTTCAACCATATTTTCGGAAATCGAAATCACCGATCATAGATGAGAGAAAGAGCGTGTGATACTAGATTATTTTGATGATCACTGATTATATCTGTCGTAGCGCCTAGTAATTGACCCCGTGCGAACCTAGCCGAATGTGACGATTGAACGGCTGTTGTTTGTTTAGTACACCTCTCGATGTCGCCGTTAATAGATACGATCCATCACGCTTGTTTACTATTTCAGTTTGATATCAACGACGGAATTGGTTTAGTATTCAGAAGATGTCGTGTCATTACCATATGATATGCTAGTGCAACGTTAGAGGGCGGGGTTAATGTCATGGTCTACCATATACGCAAAATATTGAATATGGTGAGACAGAAAGGTCTCTCATTTGCAAAGAAAAGTATGCCTTCTCAGATTGAAGCGCGGTGGTCTTCGCGCAGCGCGTGTTCGAATTTCATGTAAATAAACAATGTATTTCACACGCGTTGTATACGTCGCTATGAGTCCCAAGTTCTCCGCTGTGAAGTGAGCCTAGTGTTCTTTGATTATTACAACCGACTCTCTAACTATACATGTTTCCGTATTCATTTATCTGACTCAACATTACCAAACCAGAACTAACTAGCTGCATACAATTTTATTAAATTTACATATTAAAACAATGAAAATATGCAGACATTTCAAAGTCTATAATGGCACTGTATGAAGAAAAATATAGCTTTCAGTTTACAGATTAGTCTCAAGAAATTTGTTCTTCATAAACCACGTCTTCCCCAATCCGATTTGTCTCATTTATGAATCATATGAATACATCCACCAACCATCTCCTTCAAACCCTTCATTATTTAAATAAATTGTTTGTTGTACACAGGTTACATTTGTCGAAGATGATGACCGGTGACCAACAAGAGTGTGGCCCTCCAGTAACCCGTGTATCATTTGTAAAGACATACAAGACAGCTAGTACGACAATTTCATCTATACTTATACGGTATGGGATAAATAACAATTTGTCCTTTGTTTTACCATCACATCATGAACAAGGCTGGTTCTCAAGAACAGTACGTTTCAACAGTAAAATGCAGAAGAAATTGTTGCCTCCTCTTCCAGGCTCAAACTACAGTATCCTAGCAAGCCACGTACCATTCAATAAAACAGCAATCGAAGAAGTGATTCCTAATGCCACGCATATAACAATATTACGTCATCCTGTATTTGCGTATGAATCAATATTTGGGTTTTTCAAAATCGCACGAAACTTTAAAATTAAAAAACAATCAAGACAAAATGAATTCCAAACTTTTCTATTAAACTCAGACAAGTATTTGAAGCGTGTTAAGGATCCTTTCTACAAGACACTGCTTCGAAATAGACAGATATTTGACGTTGGACTTGATCTTAAAGACTATGACAATGAAACTATTGTGGATTATGTAATTGACCGAGCATCAAAGGAGTTTGACTTGGTGATGATTGCAGAGTATTTTGATGAATCGCTCATTCTGTTGAAGAATGTTATGTGCTGGGAATTAGAAGACATTCTATACATGCAACAAAATAAAAGAGTTGACCACCTACGTTACAAAATCAATGACTGGGAGCGACAGCGAATATTAGAGTTGAACGAAGCTGATGTTAAATTGTATCAACACTTCAATGAAACGTTTTGGCGTAAGGTTGAGGCGTATGGTTCAAAATTTAGCAAAGATTTGGCGACTTTTCAAAGCAAGTTAGAGAAGATGCATACAGAGTGTATAGATGATGGTAAATATACTACTGACTATCGAGGCCGCAGGAATACAACGCTCCTGAAGGACGGCGCACCCGCATATTGTTCAAATATACACGACAATAGTTTTTCCTCTCTTGCTAGCAGACAAACGCTGAATATATCAAATCCAATCCTTTGATATAACATAAAACCCCTCGTTAGATGTGTGAAATATTGCCTTAATTCAGTGTACTCATACAATTGTAACATTTTGTGTACACAGAGAAGCATTGCAAGTCAAATATCAAAAGGCAACTTTTACCTGGGACGAATTTCGATAGTGAATTCCTCTCACATCGGTTTAGAAGTAGTTACATGAATCTGTAGTTGTTGCTACATGTATATCAGGTTTCATTGAGAGACGTGTATTTAAACGCCACCTACTACTAATTTGACCAGAACTACAATTTGCATCGTCCTCTAACCATGAGTAGGTATTAATCAACACAGCAGAATAAACCGCCGGTAATTCATGGAAATAAATATTTCAACTTGATATTTCCCTGAGAACCCTCACGTGCCTTGCAATATTCTATTATATCCGGATTTTAAATCGTGCAGCAAAAGATCATGTTAACGGAAACTGCGTATGATTGAAAACATTCCAGAGCAAAGATAATGACTTCAACTTTTTTCTACAGAACCTAGTAATTTAACACCGTAAATTAAATTGTTATGTAAAAGATATTTTAATAAATGATTGTATGTTTTATTCATTTTAAAAGTGTTTTTTTCCGCATTTTTATTTATATTCTGTCATCATAAAATTCTAGTCATCTCTAACAAACAATATTAGTGTGGACGACATTTTCGCAGTCATTAGAATCATCAGGTCGCTGTGGTCCTCATTATTTTAGGAGAACAAACAAACTAGAGATAAGCAATAGCTTGTCTAAAAAAATGATTGTGTAGTATTTAAGAAGTAGAATGGTGGCTGTGTTTATTAAATTTCTGGAATGTTGGCAATTGTCAGTATATGTTATCAAACAATTGCGTCTATCCGAGCTGCAGTTTGAAATTTCCATTTTGACAGAAAAATAAGTATTTGAGGATATTTTAAGTGGCATAATTGTATCTTAGAATCCGAGATATTTGTTGTTACAGGTTTTTGCATAGCGGCCATCTTGGAATTCAAGATGGATGCTATTACCTATTTTAAGGAGGTAGATCTACCAAAAATTGAAAGTTTTGGAAATGGGTATCATACGACCAAATCTGGTACTTTTATCCAGAACGTCCACATCACACTCAGATATGGGCCTAAGCTACCTGAATCAATCGGTTCTGAACATTCATTAATTAAATTGGCGGTCGTTATGTATGTGAATGTGCCTGCAATATTATTGAAGTTAAGCATTTTATCTTTGAGCAGCATATTGATTATGAAAAAATATTTTAATTGCAGTTAATAACGACGAAATTGAGATATGTTTCTAACATCCAAATACTCGGCGGTCTTGAATCGCGAGTCACAGCTCGTTGGATCATTTTATATGGCCGGTGACAATGCGTTGATACAATGGGGTATATGATTCGAGCGAACCACGTTTTACCACAGTGCAATCCTATAACTAAAATTACTGCCCTGTATGCCCGAGAACACACACGTATATGCCTGGTGGTCTGAAGTCATTTTGTTCATGGTATGCTTTAATTAACGGAACTGTGTATTATTGCTCAGTAACAATTGATGATACTTTAGATTCTAACTCACTTCTCAGATCCACACAAACTTGACGAAGAGGCTTGAAATTATTCAGACCTGCGTCCTCGTCTCCTTCTATTAATTATAGTGAATTGGTATGCTTGGAATTAAGGGCAGTTTAAATTGATGTCATAACAGTTGATGTCATAATGCTTGTGATTTTTCATTAGTTTCATGTTGGCTTAATTTTTTTTTCAATGAAATGATATCGCATATATCAGAATATCGATTTTATACTATCATCTTATATCAAGATTCAAGTTATAGACCAAGTTTTTAGCACTATTGGGAAAACCACTTTGACATTGGTAAAATCTACTATTACTCTTACTTACTTACAGTTACCAATATCCCACAGTACCCATTGGGAGCTTCGAAGCTTTAAAATAACGAGGCCCTTGGATACAACATCTGATACCAGTGTCATGGTTCATATTGTGAACATAGAGCATGTATTAATATTTCACCCACAACTGTGGTTCATTCCTTGTGCTAATGTGCGAAATAACCTCGTGAAAAATTATAACTAAGAGGTGGACCATTAGAAACTGTGCAAATTATTTTGTCCTTCACTTAGTTGTGTGGCATTGTTTTATTTCTATGATGAATTTGCTGTAGTTGTTTTATACATTATATATAACACTTTTTTTCTCTCTGAAATTTAGATGTGTATTTTCTTCTGTTATTGATCCCTGAAAGATTTTACCGTACAATTTATTGTTTTCCAATTCTTCCATAGTTTATAATGGTAAACTCATTGAATATAGTCATGGTAATTATGTTACTACCTCGGTTAAACCTTCCATTCTTATTGCATTGAGAGTTATACCTAAAAACGATGAAGAGGTTTGCCTTAAATGACTATGCAACTAATAGACTCCTTTTTATACCACGCCATGCATGAGGCTCTGAAACTAGTGGGAATCCAATTACTATATGGCTAAAGTTGATTTCGAAATTGCGTTTTTACCCTAGTCATTGTGGTGCAACAGGCTTGAAACGACACTTTTCAGATCAACAGTATGATACTAGATTACCATTTGGTGTCCTGCGTTTTTGTTTTTTTAAATTGTTTCAATAAGATCACACAAGCTGTAAAACGTATGTACTGTAGATGTTTTGAGTTAATGGTAGTCTGATTTGATGGTGTTTGATAGTAGAGAGGGAATGATAGCTTTACCCTTTACAAAGCAGCAGGAATTTGTAGCTCTGTATTGCAAGAACCTTGGGAATTGGGAATATACAAATTTACTGGGCACCTGCTACAGACCTCAACATCAACTTCAAACAGGTCATTGTCAATGACATAGTCCCCGTTCAGTTTTCAGTTACTGTGTCAATCAAAAACAATGAAACAATATTAAGCATGCTAATGTGATACTCAATGAGTTCAGTATGAAAATAAAACATGGTCACCAATCAGCATGACGTGAATTAAAACTATCACCTGTAATATTCAACCCAAGTTTGAGTAAAATCCACATTGCCCGAAAAATGATTGCCATGTTCAAATGATTTGTGGGACTAACATGGCTACCAGTTTATCAGCGGTGAAAAACAAATTGTTGGAATGGTTCTTTCTACATTACAATCGAACAGTAACAATTGCAATGTTATAGTGTAATAAATATTTATGCAGTTGCTGCCCATAATGACTTATTGTGACACTTTGTTTTTCTTTTACAAGTGTATCCATGTTTAACAGGCTTTCAAGTTTAGGCTCACAATATGTCGCACAGAAATATTATCACGAAGATGAAATAAATCAAACTCTTTCACTTTCATCTTGACAAGTATAATTTCTTTATTCAATCAGTAATTAGTTTATATAATAGGCAATTATGTAGATTAGTAAGTATTAGATGTAGTTGTTGCTAAGGTTATGTATACCACTTCTAGTTGGAGTTGATACCACGTCTGGTGAGTTTTTGTATAATAAAAATATTCTTTCGTAATATATGGGACTATAATTGTCACTGCTGATATTTAAATGATTGCTACTTCTCCTAGAATGGGTTAGTTGCAGTATAGTATAGATTCTCAAACTATAATGTTATATGTGATAGCAATGGACGTTTTATTGCTAATGTTTAATTGTCGGGTATTGAATACCAGATTGTTTGGCCGTGTGTAGCCCAGACAAAAGTTGGTAGGTGTGACCAAATGCAGCCCACTGTTCCGGTAAAAAACTGTTGAGAGAAATATTCTTGTACAAGAGCAAAAAAAAATCAATAAATAATTTAGGCATTTGTTAAAAACAAAGTTTTGCTTTTCAACGAGATGAACAATTTTCGAATGTAACAGTGCTACAAGACAATTGGTAACTCCAAGAATAAACGTCATTTGACAGCTAAGTATACTATGAACTTTTCAACAACTCAAACAACACATGTATATTCTGACAGTTCAAATAGTCTTAAGTCATTGTTGATAATGTGTGCACTGTTTCTCATAGACACTAATAATGCTTATGCCATGGATGATGGCAATAGATTTTTTCGAAATGCAAATTTTGAAATGATGATGCATTATATTTCGAATCATTCACCACTTCATAAATTTGCATATATTACAGTGGAATCTTAAAGGGGTAATGGGCATTCTTGACGACTGTAAAGGAACTAATGCCAATGTGACCTGTAAGTCTGCACGAATGCCTGCTCCTACCACACAAATAGCAGATGAGATAAGAGATCATCTTTATGTCGGCCTGTGAGGGTTAAGGGTCAGACATTACCAATGACAAAAAATGACGATATTCAAAATACTATTTATAAGCTTACTGAAATCAGCCATGTTTTGCAAGATAGTTTGTTGCCGAGAAATTAATTGTGATACATTTTGTCGATGGATTTCTGACCAGAAGAAAAGAACAAAGTTGTTGAAAACAGTTTCTTAGGTTTGCTTTGAGGACAGGGCAGCAGCAAATGTGTAATTGCTCTATATACAAGTGTATCATGCACACTGTAATGTTAAAATACGACTTTAAAACATTGACCATACAATATCCTTCCTTCACCTAAGCACTTCTATCGGTACTGTAGCGGCAAAAGTTTTCACTTGGAATTTTGGTGATTAGAGAATGGGTAATATTGTTAAGGAAAAACAAGATCCCTTGTTTGTTGTGATCACATTGTGACAGTTAACATTTGTTTTGGTTCACCCCTCCAAACTTCAAACCGACACTTGACTGTAAGACAATGTTGGCCTCGAAAATTGTGTGAAAAATGCAACATTCATTCATCACTATAAGGCTTTATTCATTACCAGATAATATGATTATCAAAGAATAAATGTTTTATACTATAGTACTTTTTGTTCGCTATGAACAAAATAATTACATACATAATGAAGAATTATGATGTTTAATTTCTATCTAATAAACACAACAATTGTGGTCGGAATTCTGACCGTTTTTCTTCCTAGCTAATGATTACATTTACATATTATGATCTATTGTTGATTTCATTATGACAAATTTCTGTACATACATACAACAGCTGTGTAAACAAGGATTAATATACATAAGAGTATAAGAGTTTCCCTTGTTACATTTCACAAGATTTATTTGGAATTGCGCTTGCTGTGGTCATTAATTATATGTATAATTAGAAACACAGTCATTGTAACATAATCTGATAAATGTGCTTTTACATGATCATTACTTGCGAGATGGACATCAGCAAAATGTATCCAAAAATACCTTGAACTCAATGTTACTTAATCTAAGATTCTTCAACTATTACCGTTTGAGATGTTAATTTTCATCTCTTCCTATCTAAAACTTGTTTCCTTTAGATTGAAAGACAAATCACGCCAGTAGCGTAATTATATTCATACGTGATAATTCATCAAACCGTATAGTTCAATCTGCATACTATGTATCTATACGCACGGTTGTACAGTATCTACTATTTATAATTGAACTACCTATATCAAAGTAATGCTACTTCTTGGTGAAACGATGTATGGATCAAAAAATGACAAACAAGCACATCTTGTGTGATTGGTCATCAACACGGTCTTTACTGTACGTACTAGCATACTTTGATATGAGTAGGAACCCGGTAACGCTTTGTTTAAACAATTTATAGCATCAGTGTTTTATATCTGTTCTGAATCTACTCTCACTTTAGTGTTTTTTTTTTTATCAATGAATAATAATATATTTTATATGTGTGTTATTATAATACCACGTAATATGTTATGTTTAATCACTTACAGTTTACAAATATTCACCAACAAATAATGTGTGTTATATATTTTCTTTCAGAAATACTACAATACACGCCAGTTAGCGTAAATTATATTCATGCTTGATAATTGGTCATTAAAAGTATTTTTTTATATTTTGTTTTCCCATTTTTGTCTAAGTACAGACGAAATGTAAAGCGGTAGTCCACATTTTTACATTGTTATATAAATACGAACTTCAAAAAATTCAATTACATGATAGTACTACACATTGTTTTACATCACAAATAAAAGGTGGAAATTGTATTAAACAAAAGGTCACGAAATGTTTAGTGATTCTTATTGTATTTTTGTAAATACCAGCCTTGTAGTAACAAAACCTTCCAGTTTTTCGAATCCCACCTTTGTCGCAACTTTCATCGGTGGTATGTTATTTTTAGCTATATAGAAATATGGTGTAATGCCTGCATTTGACAATTCTGTGCAAAACCTAGCTTGGATTATCATATGTAAGCCTGATCCTCGGTACTTGGGTTCACTGAACCCGTATCCCAAAGCGCCACATTCCTTGTGTATTCCCCATGATACCGGTGTTCCATTGGGATCAAAGGCAGCAAAAGATTTACAGTGCTTCAGCGTTTCGGAAAGGATTGATGGAGGTGTTGTTTCATTGTTCATCCACCATCTGTTTTCTATTAAAGGAATGTGCTCGTTTTGCAGACTACCATAACGCATGGCAAAGGGAAGTGATTTTTCAGCAGTTTTTGCACACAATTCTTTGTTTTTGAGTAAAACAAGATTGCACGGTTTATTGTAAATGAGTTGAAATCCTCTGTTCTTAGCAACATCATGAATAATTTGGAAACCAGACATTGGCATATTCTCAATCATAATCCGGGTTTTGTTCCAGTTAATCACTCCAGTTGTGTTCAGCACTTCTTGCAGCTTGGTGATATTAGTGGAATGGATGTAATATGTTCTATCGAAAGGCGACAGGTGATAGTTGATTGCAGCGCCGACTACCGTTGTACATTTCTTAATGTCATCGGTGTATATTGCCATATGTGGCCAAACATTTTCAGATAGCAGGCTGTTCTTCATCATAGAAAGAAGAGAATTACAATATGGCATCCACTTCTGTAATGCCTGTATCAATATTGGCAACTCCCTGACTGCAACAACTGCCATATTTTTCGATATTTGGAAGTGAACTCACTGTAGAGAATATACATGTTATAAATTAGCGATATGACGTCACAATCTAATTAAGAAAGTCGAAAATTTGAATGCGGTAAAATATTGGCGTTTGATTACTGGATATAAAGTAAACGCCATCGTGTATATCTTGACAACAAATTACATATTTTTCATTCATATCTATCTATTTCACAAATCTAATAACTGTCCATATGCATGTTCACATATTCAAAACTACCAGGCCAATTACTTTTATACTGGGTATGTGGGTACCTTTTGCTGCACTATTGTCAAATTTGTTCATTTTGTGAAGATATTTTTCAATTCTCTAATTTGGCAAGAACATTGTGGTAACACTACTATCCATGGCAAATAGTTAATATCTCATTGTACAGAACATTATCAATTTGTTTAGATGAAGACACATCGCAGATGAAGATTTGTTGTCTATCAACTTTCCACACTCTTTACAAACTATATGGTAACACCAATAAGCAATACATTTCACTGCAGGATACTGCAATTATACCAGAGCACGATTCTCGGTCTACCAGACAGCTACACTGCAATGTATCCACAGACACATTGTGTAGTCAAATAACTGAACTTACCTTACAATATTGCAATGTATGTCTCAAATTGTTTACTCAAATAATTGAAAGCAGTACATTCGTCAATCAGTATAGTTTAAACGTTAAACTGCATAGTTATACAGTACCTACTATTTGCAACTGAACCATCTATATCAAAGTACTGGTACTTCCTAGTAAAACGATGAATGAATCAAAAATGGCGAACAAGCACATCATGTGTGATTCGTCGTCAACCCAGTTTTTACTGTACGTGCTTGCATACTGTGATGTTAGTAGTAACTGGTAAACGCTGTGTTCTATGGCATCAGTATATTATATCTGTTCTGAATCCGCTCTCACATTCGACCTTAGAAGTGTTATTTTTCTCTTAGATCAGTGACTATTATTATATGTGTGCTGAACCTGGCAATGTGTTATATTCATTCACTTACAGGATACCAATATCCACAAACAGATTGGTGTGTTTTCTTTTAGACAGAAAATAAATCACGCCAGTTAGCGTAATTATATTCATGAGTGATAATTCGTTATCAATACTTTAATTGAAAACGTGTAATTTTATTTTGTTGTTCTGACAAAAGATAAAGCGGTAGTTCAAATGTTTAGGCTGTTTTAAAAACGACTTTGTGACCGTGGTTGTTATATTAACTGAAAAAAATATGTATATGCATTGTGTAGTCCCATAACTTAACTTACCTTACAATCTTGCAATGTCTCTCCCAGATTGTTTTACTAAAACACTTAGAAGCAGCTCAGTCATCACTTAGTATAGTTTCACACCACAGGTACAATATGTATCTATATGCACGGTTATACAGCACCTACGATTTAGGATCTATTTATAATTAAACTGCCCATTAAGTGAAAAGTACTGGTACTGGTTACTACTGGTGAGCAATACCGATAAGTGAACCAAAATGGCAAACAAGCACATCATGTGTGATCATTCGTCCTTTCTGTACATGCTAGCATATTTAAACATTTGTTATTTAAACATTTTAGAACGTTATATCTGTTCTGAATCCGCTCTCACATTCGACTCCATAATGCTTATTTTTTTCTCGTAGATCGGTGAATATTATATTTTATATGTGTGTGTTATACCAAGCAATTCTTTATGAACCTGCAGTGTACATATACTAGTATCCACAATCGAACATTTTGTAAAATTTCATAATTACATTACTTACCTTACCTCACCTCACAATATTGTAGTGTCTCTCTGGAATTGTGGTAAATAAAGCAGTCAGTCACGAGTAGAATATTACAGTAATAATAATACCTCAAAATGGCGTACTGTCCATGGGATTACCTTATTGTAATGGTCCGATGCAACCGGGTCCGGGTAGTTTCACCTACCAAGAAGATTATTTATTAATCTACTAAACTATTCACATATGCACAGGGAGTCCAGGAAATATGATAAACTGTACGCAGTCCCTATGAGCGGGGGGGGGGGGTATTGGCTGGTATCTAGAGTTAGGGGAACCAGCGCAATATAAACATGACCTTGACAATGGGATTGTGTTTTCCCGAGTGTTCAAATAATAAAAGCTGACATTTTTGGAGTAATGTAATGTAATTGAAACACAAGACAAAAGTATTAGATGGATTACAAAAGAGGCTATAATTAATATGGGCAAATGATTCACTTGAGCCATTGGTAAATTTATGGAATTGATTTTGCTGTGACAATGTATACATGCATGAACAATTATGTGAATATGGTGTTGCGTGTTATAGGAAGTAGGTGATGTTTTAAGTATTTTGGTTATGGGGGGGGGGTTAAAGTACTTGATCGGAAAGATTATATTTGTTCTTTGGCAGTGAATAGCTTATTTGTACTTGATTGTGACCCACCCACCACTCGATTGTAAATTGGTCAGTTGCTATTGGACATCAATAGCATAACTATTTGGAAGACAACCCTGTAAAAATAGTGTGAATAAAATAATCGTCTGTGATAAACAAGGAAATAATACAAATTTTATTTTTTATCTTAACCAACAATAAACAACAAGTTTACAAAAAAAACATTCGAGTAAGAATAGTTGTCAAGTTTAACCAGTAGGAGGTACAGGTGATGGTTGAATTATCTCGCCTGGACGAAAATAAAAAACAAGTAAGTGGTAAGGATTATATAAAGGTAATGAATGATTTGAGTAAGGTGTTGAGTAGAGGAATGTTCAATAGGAAGAACATTGTTGAAATAGATAATGCTTTGGAAATGATTGGACTTTCCATAATTAAATCTTGAGGCACATTGTAAATAACTGGAGAGAGGATGCTGAAAGCAATATCGTGCATTCAAGCATCCTCTCAATGCAAATAAGCACAGTTTATGCACATTAAGATTATAATGAAGTAAATTAGTGTTGTAAACAGAGAGTCATGATTAAATCTGGTATGATGTACATGAAAAGACTCATGTGCAAAAGTGTATAAGTGTTGACGGAAGACCCAAATGATAGGTATCACCACCGACAACCAATTTGATAGTAGTCATATTGCCGAAAATATTATATCTTGTCGTTTGTATATGTGCAGCAACAATAAACTGTACAAAACCAGTAGTTAACTGTTTACAAGACAATATTATAGACCCATATCATGCAAAGTTGCAGGGTGTCATACAAATATACCCCCTTACTTTTAGGCTATTGTATGTTCATCCAACTGTTCATTCAGAATGAATAGGAAATAAAGTAAGTGCAAAGAGACTATATGAAATGTAATTGTACTTCATAGGAATATCATTGATGATGTCAATCCCATCAGACTGATAGAACTCGTAAAAGTAATGAATTTATCGCATGGCAATGGCAATGTGCCATATAACCGGAGTGAATTGACCTTGTGCAAAGACTGTCACAGCATTGTTGGTTTGCATAAGACAGTCCACACACATGCAACAAGGAGTAAAATCCTGGTATCACCAATGACAGGGCTGTAAATGATCAAACTAGAAACATAGAATGTAAATGGATGGACCTGTTTGTACAGGATACCAGTTCATTCCTCATTATTTATGTGGACATGTTAAAAAAATCTCAAACCATTATGAGGCTAGTGAAAAACAAATTTGGTGTTTCCAGTATTAGGGTAAAAATATTGGATAGTTAGGCAGGGATTTTATTATTTTAAATTTATTTTTTCCCAAACATGTTCAGTCTACATCAAATACATTCATTTTAAACAATTGTTTTTTTACATGATGATATCAATATCAACTTGTGTTCATTTTAGAAAAAGGTAACTCAATTCCATAAAAAATAATATTTGGTCTTAATAATAAATGACAACACATGTCATTGTTTAAGGTTAAGGTTGAGTTGAGTGGCATGAACTGTTGATCGGTGGCATCATTTCAAGAATGGCAGCTGGCGACAGCAAAACTTTCACTGATGTACATGTGTATGTAGACATCAGCACAAGAAATTGACCCATATCAGTTTCTGCCTAATAAATGACAGTTATGTACATTCCCGCTGTGGCTATTTACCTACAATAGCAACACCACAAGCATGATAAGAGCATTTTTGATGTACACATTGCAGATCTTGCAGTTTCTCGCATGTGACAAAAATCCGCTTAAATCACAAGAAAATTTTAGTAGGCCAAACAATGGTCATGAAAAAGTAAGAATGAGTACAGCCAGCCATGCCAATGTGGTGAATGATACGCAGTTTCTTGCATGACTTTTTGCTCAATATTATATAGTGTGTAATAGCCTATATAATCAATGGCATGGTTACATTAATAGGCAAAGACTATAAATCATATTCATGCCCTAGACGTGGCTACATGCGAGGTCATCATTTTGCCAATGTCATTCTTGCTATTTCATTATTGCTGGCTGCATAGACCAGACAAGTATTTACACATATCGGCCTTATTTTGGTTTTAGATGCTATTTTAATGAGATGCATCGTGACAACTGTGGCTGTGAAGGACCGGTAGGTTAGGCAATTGTTACTAGTCGCACCGTTCCTGTGCACATCACACAAATCATATGAGTTCACAGGCCATAGGCCTAGTAAATCGATGTCATCATTTACGTACGATGCAATATTTGGCGATTTACTTTTGGCCATTAGATTCCCTGATTTATGACACCATGTGCCAATAAATCCTGGAAATCGGCTTTGCTAAGCGACGAGTCATTTAGTTCAAAACACTGAATGATCACAGCATGGTGTGTAGAGTTTTAGAGGTAAAGCAATTTGTGGAAAAGTGCTAGAGCTCTTACCTTTAGTACAATGTACGGCGTCCACGGCTGGCTGGCAAAATAATATAAGTCATCGAAAGATGCGTCAACGTTACTGTAGGCAATTTCGATTACGCTGCATTGCATGCGTAGATTCGACGTCACGATTTTTGCCTATCAATTTTTCTTCG